CTAATAGGCAAAAAAGTGAAAATCATAAGACCTGAATGTTATTCTCAGGCTTTCTGTATGTTTTCATGCAAAATATCCACCTGTTTCTGCCCTGATGTCTTCTTTCTGCAGAACTGAAAGAATATACTTAGAAGTTTTGTAAAACACTTTAGATAAGCAAAGATGAAATACATGGATATAGGCATGATCCACCATTCTCTGAAGTCAATGGCAATCTCATTGATTTAACATAATTTGAGTTAAGCCCTGGAGGAATTGTTATATTGTGTACGACAACCACATTAGACAAAAATTATTTAGGCCAGCATCTTTCAAATAGCTAAGTATGTGCTGAAGTTTACTTAGCATGTGGAGTTACACATGTCTACACAGAAATTTGCAGGATTAGGATCAGATGGACATCTTTCAACAGGCAAGCCTTGAAGCCATGAAAACAACAGCTTAGTAGAAACTCTGTGTGAAAGTCCTCACTCTCACTATGCTGTTATCGCCTGACAAAAACATTTTTCACCAGAGTTAATGAGAAATTAGCAATTTTTTGTAAATAAAGATTCCTTTCTGCTGGAGAAACCCAAGGAAGAACACTGATCTCTATTGCCTTGACATTTCCTGAAATACTCAAGTATTAAAGTATCTGGTATGCTCAAGAGAGTTGCAATATCTATTTCATATTGGATACTCACCATATTTATTGTGTTGGCATGCACTCATCTATCATCTGTGACTATCTGTTACGGAAGGTTATGTGCCAAATTATACATGAGAAATATCTGAGCTGATCTAAATGCACATGGAATTTTCTTTAATATTTTCATGGCTAATGAAAGTTGTTAGATCTATAGCCTAGGAAAAAAAAGCATTCTTCCATAACATGTGGGTATTAGCAAATTAAGTACTGTTTGTCTAGTAATGCATTTCTTAACTGAGCAGGTGGATCACCTCTATGGAATGGCTGGTGGGAGTCCATCATCTCAAGGCTTGAATCTCAAGGTCTGAACTCAAACCTTGGCCTTTCTGACAGGCTTTGCTGAGGGTGCCTACCAGAGGCACTGCATAGCTGCTTCTGAGATGAAGACTCTTAGTTCCACATCAGGAGTGATTGTCTCTCTTGCTGGCTGCTCACTGCAGAAGACTGAAAGCCGTATTTTTTAGAGGTGCTAAGCCATACCAAGCGACAAAAATGAACAGGAGCTGCAAGCCTGCAATGTTGCAAAGAATCTCAATTTCTCTTTAAATTAAAAATTTAATCTTTTGCTGGAAAAACAGATACCACTAGCCCCTGTAAAACCAAAGCCAAGTTTCATGCTTTCATTTCCTTTCAGTTTTTCTATAGACTGTCCCAGATGTAACAAGAACAAGCAGAAAATAATGCAGCACTACCATGGCATGCTGCTAATCGCTTCTGATCCATTAGAAGGAAGTGCTTGTATACAATGTACTATACACTTCCCTCCAATCTCTTCTGATCATTTATTTTGATGAAGATGATGAAATAGTATACTCTGCTCCTGACATAACAAATTATTTTATTGACAAATAAAATGAAAGATACTGATCAGTGAATTTACTAATACTATTTTTTATTAACAAAGGCAAAATACAAAGTATTTTGAGGTTTTTTTCTCACTAGATGTTAGTAGGTATAACTTGAGCTAGTCAGTGATGCCATAACCTCCACTGAGACCATTCCTATAATTGTGCTACTTTGCACCAAGACTGCGGTTTCCTTCCCAAGAGAGGCAGCAGGACAAGAGACAACCCACATGATATAAATCATCCAGAATACCCAAATTTGCCAAAGAAATGTTGCCAAAGAAAACAAAGAAGGAAGACAGCAATCCTCCTGTGAGAATCTCAAGCTTTACCTAAATTAAAACTTCAGGTGTACTGAAAGGTTGTGAGTGATTTCCTGCACAGGATAAGGAGATCGTTAATTGTCCTGCCTCAAATAGGTCTGCAGCCCTCCCTGAACCGTTGCATCCTGTCCTGTGAATTATCTGCCCTGGCCCCGTGGCTGCTTCCGATCTCTCATCTCTGTTATTACCAGAGGATTTATGTCATGCTCTGACCCCATCCTTTAGACTATCTTTTCTGCCCAAAGGGGACACATGTGCTGACACATGATTTTCTCATCCTAAGTATTGACTTATTAGTTCCTTTAGAGGTATTACTACTGCCCCTTTGTAACTGTGCGTCTCTGACAGTGTAAAATGTTTCTAGGTCGTGCCAAGAAACTAGCCCACAGTTCTGATAAATTGCTCTGATTACTGAATGTTAGCTGCTTTCAGGCTAATCTTTTCAGGCACCACATATTGACAGAAAGTGCTTGAAAGCCTCCCCTGCATCTGCCTTCCCAGATGATACCTGGAGAACTCCATGGACTACCCAGGCTGGTAACACACACTGTAATGCAGTTAAGCCAATGTCTGCATGCCCCCCCTGGCTACACGGTGCTAACTTTTTGGGTGAAAGTTTCTAAGGACTTGAGCAATCTGCACCTTTCAGACAGCGGTCAGCCTTCAAGAGTTGCACTATACGGGTAATCCAACTTCTACAGGCGTTAGCGGAGCTTGGTCTGAGTTACATATTGAGCTACTGCTGCCCTCTACTGTGTTATTACGGGTTGTGCCTCTCATAATCAATGAGAGCCACAAATAATTCAAGCAAAATTTCTAGTCTTACCCAGAACTTGGCATGGCTAATATTTCTACATCTTGATAAGATCATTCCAAGGATCTATTTCTAATTCATCAGCATATTCTGATTCTGCAGGTCAAATGGAAAAATCTTTTATCTCTTTTATCTGATTTTGGCACTTAGAAGAGGTGGTTCCTTGCAAAAGGCTGGACATGTTTCATTACTTCAGCAAAATGTTGTCTCTTCTTCTGATAATAAATAACCATCCGAAGAGTAAGAAATACGGAGTGAGAAACCAACGTTGGGGACAAAATGACTGCATCAAGGTTCTATGCAGGACACAATGTCTCTGATAACCTGAGCTTTAGCTTAGGACAGCAAAGTCCTACATTTAATTAATCTTTACTTAGTCTCAAGTTATTCAGTTTCTTGTTATTTGTCTTTATCTTGTTTCCTTATATCTCAAGTTATTCTCATCTTCATATCTTCAGATACAGCTCACGATCCTTTCAGAAAGATAAGTTTCATTCTCACTGATGCTAGGAAGAGTAACATGAGTGCAACCTTGCTATATTCACATCCACCACACAAAAGGCTCCAAATAGGAATAGCTTACTTCTTCCCAGCTCTCCACAGACTCCAATAACCTTCTCTTTTGTCATTTTCATCTCCAGGCCCCTGAATAGGTTGCATTGCTTGTAGGTTAGAGCACCTATCATGTGCATCTAAAATAATTTTATTATTTTAATTTTATTTATGCTTCCTAATCTCACAAATCTAATTACTTCTCTCCTGCAGTGCTTCCTGTGCTGGAATGCAACTATGATGTGCCACCAATACATAGTACTAAACTGAAAAACTCATCAGTAGGCAGAAATAGATAAGCAGAAGGTAGCAGACCACTAGATTAAAGCCAGAGACACAGCCTTCCTACTCAAGGGAAAACTCAGACTGTTCTCACTAATTATCTACACAGGTCTCCAAAGGAATTAGATACACATTGCAAAGGAGGCAGACTAAGAGCCTAGCTAATTAAAAAAATTGTATTTCCTTCCAGTAGATGCAGTAACAAATGCATTGGGTGCCCACACACGTTTCGAGTCCCTCATTTGGTGCCTGCCAGCCCGGTTAATATTCTGAATCCTGAACCAGAGAAACCTCCAGAAGTAAAACCACAAGCTGTTACCACTTTACATCAAACCCAAAAACTTCTCATGAGGGCTGACACAGTCTTATATTTGTAGTAGATGCAACACAAAGAAGAGAACCTGTAATACACATTCACTAGCAAATTCCAGCTGCTTTTATTTCTGTAACGCTTTCAGGTTTATTTTCTACTATTCACTGAAAAACATCCAGTACATCCAGTTTCTTCTTCACAAAATACACCTGTAACTGAAGTTCGTTGTGGCTCCCCATTTCTTCCACAAACTTTATTATGTAAAGGCATTTTTTCCAGGAACAGTGGAGTATTGAAAATCACTAAAGCTGGAATCAAGCCATACAGCCCAGTTCCAGACCTGAGCTCAAAGCTTAAGCTCTTTCCATTGATCAGTGTTTCTTACAGGGAAAAGAGATAACACTTTTGCTGCTCCTGTCTCAATGACAGTGTAACAAGGAAGGTCCTCTGCATTTTTGCCCCTTAAACATGTCAGTGATGACATAGAGGCATCCATGCATAGTTCAAGGATTCCAGCTCAGAGAGAACTCATCGCAGCCATGGGAGATGGAGATACTGACCACAAACGATACACATCTCTCAAAAGATTTGGTCAGTTTCCATGAGAAGGCTGAGGAGTCCAACTAAGAGTCAACAAAAGAGATGGTTCTGATGTTTTCTGCCTTCTCATTTGTGACCATGCAATTTATCTCTCCAGCACATTTCTCCCTCTCACCTTCTCAGCATCATTCAGCTCATCTGGCCTCATGTAAGAAGAAAAATCTCATGTCATTAAGTTTTGCCAAATTTGTGGTTGCCAAAGGTGATTTCAATACTCAAATTACCTCTGTAAGTATATAAAATCTGTCATGGAATAAGCAGTGCAACAGACTTTGCACATCACCATTAAAAAAGAAACAGAAACCACAGATCCATAGAAACTAGTGCAATTAAGTCCTTATCACTTACTTTTCCTGATGACTGCAAAGCTAAAACCCTGAAAATATTTCTGAAAATTAGCAACTTCGCTCGAAAATCAGCAGAAAAAACTTTCCTGTGAGAATTTTTGCATTCTCTGCAGTTGCATGAGGACATAACACTCGATGATCTTGAAGGTCTCTTCCAACCGAAACTGTTCTGTGATTCTATGATTCCATAATGGGACATGGCCCAATTCTTAAACTCTAGTTTATGAAACACCTACCTCTAGGACTTTCCCAGTAATGAACTGGTGACATGCTTCACATTTGACTCCAAAAAGAACTTGATAGTCCTTTTCACAATAAGGAGCACCATCTCTGAAAAACAAAATCCACAAGTTACAAACCACCTTTTAAAAAATAGCATGATTTGCACTCTTCTCTTGTCTTCAGTCCTGAACTTTCTACACACAGCAATAGGCAAATGAGAGAGAATTCAAAGGAAGTACTTTGTAGTAGAAGAATAAAAAAACAGTGCCTCTTAGAATTATTCCTTAAATTCACATCAAGAAAAGGCATCCGGTACAAACCACTGAAGTAAATCTCATTTAGAACAGACTCTCTAAACCTACAGGTGGTGCAATTCTAGGGAATCAGTGGAACTAACATCCATGGAAATGAGAGATCACAGTCTTTATCATAGTTTTTGTTCAATTCAGAAAAAAAAAAATAAATTTTGGTAGTCTGCAAGAGTATAAGCAGTTGTAAGGTTATGTAGTTTTTTAGTATCAAAAAGAACATATAGTAAAAATGGAAACACCAGTCAGCTTAGGAGTATTTCTCAGGCACATAACTTCTGAGAAATTACAGATGCTACTTTTTATTAAATATTATACACCCCTGAATGACAGGCTTGTGAAACATACATGTTTCTCTATTTTTTGTCTGTTATATGCTTGAAGTGGTGAACAGAGACTGTATCTTCATTCCCTCTATTTTATCATTATATCACATTTCCCCATTCTCTTCCTCTACACTTCCTTCCGCTCAAAATCCTCGTCATTTGTTTCTTATATGAAGATGAGAAACACAGTGTCAGGTCAATCACATCATCACATTTACTCTATTCTCTAGCAAAGGCAAGCAATGGACAGGATCCTGCTTTTTTTCCTCAAAAGCACATGTTGGAAAGCAAAATGGCACAAAGCTTTATCTGGCTAACTCAGAAAACACATGCAGGAATTCACCTGCTCCTTTGTGGGAACATATATGCCCTTCTGTATTGGTATTAAATATAGACTACTTTTCAGTTTACATTCATTTCCCAACTCAGGTGTTACTGGGAATAAAGATTTTGGTGTATACGGAAAGGTGCTCAAAACTGGATTTCGGAAGGTGAACTTTGCTGCAAGCTCTTCTCCGTCATGCCAAGAGTGCAGAAGAGATGCAGAGGTTACTTACTTGCTGATGTATTCCCCAGTTAGGACCTTCCCGCAGGCCTTGCACTTAAAGCACCCCAGGTGCCACTGCTTATCCAGAGCTAGCAATGCTTGTCCATTTTTTATGTCTCTTCCACAGCCAGCACAATCTACAAATAAACAAACAAATGCATTTGTTGTCAGTTACTTAGTTCATTAACCCTCATTAACCACCCACCTATTGCAACACTTGACCACCAAAGGGGAGAATTACACAGAATGCAAAGGTATGTCTTCCTTTCCTCAAACACTTTCCAGGTCCTGTACAAAGATTCAGTCTTTGTCATTATAGACATACACAGTAGAAGAGGGAAAGTACCTCTTCTGTTTTTCATGCTCATGTTTATGATTCAAAGGCTGCCAGGCAAGCACTGTACAAACTTCAGAATTCGTTAGGAACGAGCTACAAAAATATTCACTGCAAAAATTCCATGTCTTCTAAAGCAATCAGCGTTATTTCTCGTTGTGCTTTTAGCAAGATCTAGACTGCTTACATGAGGCTAAGTAAGGAGGCCTGAGTGAGCATCATCAGGATGCTGCACTTCCCCGTTGGGTGGCAGCAAAACCCAGTGTGTCCACCGCGCTCAGGGGCGGTGGCACATCTCAGCCAGGAACAGGGGGAGAGACCTTTTTTGAGGGAGGGCCCAAGGCAAGGGTGACAGCAGTATGACAGCAGTGAAGGCTGCATGGCAGGGCATATTGTCTTCCACCTGCAGGTGTGAGAAACTGTAATTCTCGTAATCTCTGACCGGCATAGGGACTCTTGCTCAGGAATTTTGGTACTACCTTGGTAGTCAACACTCATTTTCACTGCAATTCTGAAAGACTCTTTGATGGCAGAATGCAACCCCGAAGCCAGGAGCACTGAATGCCCTCTGTCCCAGAGGATGCCACAATGTCTCATGTCACGTCAGAAATCTTTGGCTCAGCCCCAAGCTTCCATTCCTCTCCATCTAAACATAAAATACTCAAAGAGATTTCCTGGTAAGGGGCAATTCAGCACATGGTAAGATTTGAAGAGACTGATGTGGCAGACAGCACTGAAGTGCAAGGGTTGTGCTACAGCTTCTGTGCCCAGCCTCAGGGGACAGAGGGACTGAGGGAAGGGAAGGCCTGAAAGACCAGTGAAGCAGAAAGGGAATGCCCATCAGCTGAGGCACACATGGAGACCACAGAGGAGACTGCCTGGAACAAAGGATTTTCCATATTTTATTATCCCCAAACTCGGCGTTCCTTTGGTGAATGTAACATCCTTCTAAACGCCTCAAACATCAACAAATATCAACAAAAAGAGACCAAGAGGAACAGAGCAATCTGAGCAGGTAAAGCCCAAGCACCAGGGAAAAGATCATCCTGGCTGCACTGCTCAAGATGACTGAACAGGTACAGCCTGAAAGCCTTCATCTCTTTATGGGCTTACAGCCCAGGCAACACCACACCTTGCAAAAGGACAAGTCCAAGTTTATTATCACAACTGATAATGGGAGGAGACACACTCTTTTTGACACTAAAGGGCCTGACTTTTGTTTCCTAGATAATGGGCCAAGAAAGCACCAAATATATGCCGTGCAGTCCTACTATCCAGGTCACAATTTGCAGCACGTCCCTCTTTCTGTCAGTGTTCCTTTTTTCAAATCCCGTAAAAAATCAAGAAGGGACTAAGCACCATGGTATCTTGTGATAAAATGCAAGTCACAGACCATTGACACGACTTGGACTTGAAAAGCAATGCTGAGATGTCGTAATACCAGGACTTTGCTCTAGAGGACAAAAGTTACAAATCGAAATGATGAAATGACAAGAACTGACACCATGTAACGGATCCCTCTGCTCTTCCATGCCAGCTCAAGGCTCCATGCCACTCTGTAATGACAGCAAAGGCTGGAACAGGTCACCAAAGGAGGGTCTGGAATTTCCAGCATGGGGCTGAGCAGGGGACAAGCAAACATCCGTCAGGATGGCTTTGACATGCTGATCTTGCCTTTAGTTTTGGGATGACACTACATCATCTCTTGAGGTCCCTTCCAGTCTGTTTTCTTCTGCTAAATCTGAGACTGTGCAATTTGCCTTCCGATTGTGACAACGAATGGGATCTTTCCTCCAGTCTCAGTATGTGCTGAACTGCAGTTTTAAACAGCACCCATTTCTCAGCTTCCTAGCACTGATGCTTCTCCGTAGTGTGCCAGCTTCCACGTTCCTGACCTGGGGTCCTGCCAAACCATGATACATTCCTTGTCACATGAATCCCTCAAAAAATCTGCTCTATTTCCCATGCTTTTTTCAGCTTTATCCAAGAAGCTTCCGTGAAGCTGAACTTTCTCAGATATGGAACCAATAAAGAGATTTTTAAAGCACTTCATTTTGCTTCTAATTGAATTTCTGAAGCAGTCAGAATAGAAAAATTGCCTTATACAAAAGGTCCATCTGCTCCAGTATCTATCTTTATTATATTTATCTTATTTATCTCCAGTTACATGGGGGAACTAGGGATCCATGAAGTATCTCTACTTGTTTAATTGCTTCTTTGTAAGCCAAAGGTGGTGTTGCCACACTTAATCTTGTGCTCATGCATGATACAAGGAGTTGGTAACATGTTTTTATTATTCTATAGCAACAATGACATTCATTTATTCTTTCTGGGTTCCTTGAAGTGTTTTGCAAGAATAAATTAACACCATTATTTCCATTCTGATAAACACAGATACGTTGAAAGGCTAAAATCAAAGTAAACTAATAGCCCAGTACTGTCTTATTAGGCTGATATGGCTTTTACCTAAACTCGATTTTAACTCTGGCAAAACAGTTGGGTATATACATGAAAAGCTAGCAATTATCGTTATCTCCTAAAATAGAAAGCGAATAAGGCTGGGCTGGGCTAAGAAAAGATGATTTGTTCATCCAAATTCTACAAATAAAAGCCATTTACGATCTCAGGCCTGCATGAGGCACGTTAAAGCCTTTGGCTGAATGTCATCAGCCCACAGCACACACAGGCAGGGTCTCAGTATCACACTAAGCACAGTCTGCATCAGCCCAACCTACAGCCAGCACATGCTGCAAATAAAAGGGCCGTGAGGTAAGACTAGTGGTCCACAATCATATGCCAGAGCAGACTTGTACTAAAAAAATCTGAAAACTCTTCCCAAAATTTTGTGCACTGGTTCCTACCGTAGTCCTATCTGACTTCATACCTGGGTCTAACAGACCCACTGCACCCATTGATCTTGAGCTTTCTTGTGCTTTCTTTTTGTCATATAACCTGTATTCTTCCCTACTCCCATTCCTTCCACATCCACGCATTCAGCTGTGCCAAGATAACGAAGAGGAGGAGGAGGAAAGTGCATTGTACTGGTTAAAACGCGGAGTGAGCAGTACAGTTCCTCTATGCACTTAGGATCCAAAGAAAAGCACAAACACCACTATGTGGGATTACATTTGAGCTGAAGGAAGACTTAAGACTAGACATTGAATGGCACTGATTCCCATAAGAAACTGGAAGTAACACATGTTCATATGTGTTGCATCCATGCTCAGAATCTTCAGCTGTATGACAGCCATTTCTCAATATAAGCACTGCAGTATGACTTCAGTAACGACCCAGTCAGAAGAAAGTTGTCAGCAATGTCAGGAAAATAATGTATTCCCCCAAAATCCATCCTAAGCAGGGAAAAAGAGATTGTATCTGAGACCACTGGACATACAGTTACCCTAATCACAGTGTAGCCTCCCTAGCCCCCCTGTGACGCCAGCAGCCGCAGCCTCCACAAGCAATGTCCACTTGCTCAGACATTGTGTATAAAAATTGAATTCACGCTTTCTCATAACAGCATTAGCTGACAGCACCATTTTCCAGCCAAGCAAAAGCTTCTTACACGATTTTCTGCCAGAGATGCTTAAAATACCTGTTGTGTCTTTCACATACTCTGGCTAGGCCTGCTCAATAATATCGCAACATATTAAAGCTACAGCTCTGGAATAAAATAGCCCAGAAGGGTGTTATATTTGATGTGTCCAGATACAAAAGCAAATGCCAGTGCCTGGACAAAAGGGCTGTGATGTGGAGTCAGCTAGCCCAAAAGCATTGAAAAATGGGGGGACAGGAAAAGGGAAAGTAGCACAGCACCTTAACATCATATACGATTAAAAGACCTCCACCCCACAAGCACCTTAAGCAGCCTCACTAAAAGATGTAGGCCAGGGTGAGCTGCCACCCGTGCTTGTAAAGATAAGATGAGAAAATGCATTTCCCTTTTTAGCATCTGCATCACCCCAGACATCCAGGAGTGAAACAGCCTGCACAGCAACCCATTCGTCACTGCCTAAATTAAGCGGTGGATTTTCTTCCTTTGCCTCCCTCCCCTGCTCGCAGCCAATAGTGGAGAGCCCTGATCACAGCACAGGCAGTGGGCTCTGCGCTGATACAGCTGTATTAACCCTAAGCAGACTGCATATGACTTTACCCACTCCTATTTGGATTGCTTTGAAAATTTACTAGCAAATATACCTTTATCTCACATTATCTGCTCACCCCATATAACTTAAGAAAGGGAAATCATCTCTACCTGCTTTTGTCCTAACAATCATGGTTATGCAAAGTCACGTGCATGAGCATACCAACTCTGCTCCCTGTGGGGCTAGCTCTGTGAGCAGAGCTAATAGCAGTCTCACTTAAGGATGCATAATTAAGTCACCAAAAAGTTCCTTTCAATCCTGATGGCCATTAGCAGCACACGTCTAGATAAAGTCTGAGGCTGCCGCATCCCCTAAGAGTCACAGGAGTAAAACTCCTATTACACGCCTTTTGTTACTGTTCCCCTCCCTATAAAGCACAGACACATTAGTTTTATAGAGACAACAGCAGCAGGCTTCTGCCCTGAAACAGGTAAAGCAGGGCAAATTGGGGGTGATTATTATTATTTTTAAAAGAAACGAACGAGTTTTCATTGGACTTACACAGAAATACATTGTCAAACATAGCTGGACCTAAAGAGCAAGTTAAGAGGAGCGGTGATTTGGAGTGAAGAAAGAGGCAAATATTATTACTGGAGTCAAGGTCAAGAAATCTCTAATTATAAATAACTCTCGGCCACCTTGAAAAACAGCTTACATC